TCAATACCAATTTTCAATAATTGCTTCCTAAGAATTCTAATAGATCTTCCCAATAAAAAACTAAATTTACAGATTATTTTTTAATTTCTTGAATGCTCACCTAAAACACCTTGCTGGACACTGAGACTCTGAGAGGGAATACGAGAGAAAGCCTTTTGCCCTCAGGAGAATGACAAAGAAGACACGGGCCTAAGGAAGCCAGGGCAGGGCTCCAAGGCAGTCTTGGGAGACCTGGAATTCTTTGAGTCGAGCCGAGCCCCCAGGTCATCTCGTTCCAGGGAGTTGGGGAAGGTGAGAAGGTAGATTTCCGTCTTCCTGTGCTTGTTTCTCATTGGCCATATGACAGGCTGAACATCTGTTCCATTGTCTTTGGGGGCGGTGAGGGGTGTTGGAAAGAGCAGGTAGTGCTGAGTATTAAATTATAACCCACTAGGCAGCCATTTAGATGATGAGGTCTAGGCTTAAAATCTCTTTCTTTCCATAAAGGCACCATATGCTCACCCTTCAGCTGGAACACCAACCGAGGGCTGAACTGTTTGGCAGCTGCTGACTGTTTTTGTTGCATGAAATTAAAATTACTTTCCTGATTAAAGACAGAATCAATGATGATCACTTTTAAAAGTTGGAGAAGGCAGAGCTATACTAAGAAAAAACAAATACATTGTAAAGCCACCATTCAAAGTGAATCATAATTTATGGTTTGGATTATTTCTACTCCGCATTTTCCATGGATAGAGATACACATACATTCATATTGATAACTGGGCTCCTTCTGGCACATAGAGGCTGTACCCTGACAACAAGAAGGAAGAAGTAACACACTTGGAGATCCAATGCCTAACAAGGTGCTGTAAAGAGCTTGCACAGAGGAGGCATAACATGAATATGTTTTAAAGCTAATATGGAGCTTGAGTTAGTCTTCATTTTCTATGAGATAATAGATGGTCCAAACTGTGAAAAGTTGCAAGTCTCATGAAAGCCTGAGCTATGTGTGAACCTAGTATTTTTATTCCTTAGAATGCCTTTTGAGGTGAGCATGTTCTCTGATCCTGGCTTTAAAAGAGAGGAAGTTGAGTAAAAGAAGTCCAAATGTTCATAGGTGAAGAATAATAAGCTCACCTCGGTTTAGGTATTCCTGTACCTGCCTCCCCAACGATGGATACCATGACGGTGACCTGGTGTAGGCACCTCTCCTTAACAAGAACAACAGAGGCAGTTTCACGACATTTGACTGAGACCTTATAGGGAGAATGGATGCTGCTGATGGCATGGTCTCTGCTGAGTCAGATGCCTTAACTAATAGAACAACATCTGCACAACAGTTTGGAGTGGGTTCCACAGAGCAGCGCTGTTCCTCAGTATTAAGAGGAGAAGAATTTGGGAAGAAGATAGTCAAGTTGGCTAGAGGGCACATGTCCGCCAGAGGCAGAACCTGATTGCACTGGGAAAACAACAACAACAACACGTCGGTAAAATGGAAATGTAGATTTAAAAGTTGTTTTTATGAGTTTGTGCATTCCCTAGTATTGTTGTGACCATGGATTTTTCTGAATGATTTTTTTTTAATGAATGCTGATTTTCATGTATGGATCAAAGCAGTCAAGCTGCTTTGTGGATGAAGATCCAGGACAATGAGATGATTTCCACAGATATAGAATTTTGGGACTGATGGAATCCCCCATAGATTTCCAAGTCTAGGAGACCTTAGCTCCATATAAAAAATGAATTACAATTGATATCTGCAAACAATGGCATGGTGGCTGGGACTCAGGTGAGCGACCCATTCCTCCTTAGGGTCTCAGGATTGCATGTTGGGCATCTCAGGCCATCTGTGCTTCCTAGGGAATCTTCCCGAACTCCATGTACCCTTTATGCTTCCAGTCTAATTGATCCACTGGCTGGAATGTCACCATCTCCTTCCCCATGTTGATCCCTCTACTAAAATAATATCTCTTCCAGACTTACCAAATTGCACTGTATTGGTTTGTTGACTTGTTGGACTCTCTTAGTTTCTAATACCCTGGAGTGCAGGAACTGTGGCCAGCACAGTGGTTAGCATATAGCAAACACTACATAATGTATTGATTAACATAAAATAAACATTTAATTCCTGATTTAGTGACTGACTAAATGAATGAAGTTGAACTTAAGTCCCAGCTCTTTCATAAAACTTTTTCTTTATTAATCTATACTAATATCCAACTTAGCATATGGATTGTATTTCTAATATAGCTTGTTCCTCTTATTACATTTATTGGGTACTTCTGTGCAAGACACTATGCAACGATCATTCGATCTTCACAACCCCGTTATGGAGATGCTGTTATTTGTATAGGGAAGGTGAGTGACTTGGCTAAAGCCAGATTGCTGGCAGAGACCAAATCTGTTGCCAGGCTATCCGAATCCAGAGTTCACCGCTTTTCCAGTCGGTGGGGTAGTTCTACTTGTGCTTCAGGGCCAAGCACAGACTCAGCTTCTTCGGGAAACTTTCTTGTGACCCTCAAGTCCGGTTCAGGGTCCTCCCCTGCTTCCGGGCATAACCTGCAGTCACCTGTGTCTTTTCTACCTTTCCCGCTTTCGACTGCAAGCTTGTGGACCAGGACTCCTGTCTCTTCTTCCTATCGTCTTATTCATTTTGAAGGTCATTTTATTGGGGGCTCTTACAGCTCTTATAACAATCCATACATCAATTGGATCAAGCATATTTGTACATACGTTGTCTTCATTCTTTTCTAAACATTTATATTTTATTTGAGCCCTGGGTATCAGCTCCTCCTTTAACCCTCCCCACCCCCTCGTGATCCCATGATAAATTATATATTAATTCATAAAAATAGAGGCCATGGCATAGGTACCTATATTTATATGGAAATACATTGAGGATGCGGATGGACTTTGAGCCTCTTCCCAAGCCCTGCTTCAACACAAGAACACTTTGTTCTAACAACCTGGCATTCTGTGATGTTCACTCTCCCAGCACGGTCACTGAAGATGAAATAGATGCACAAGTAAATGCGATGAAGAAAGCTGATGGTTCTCCACTATCAAAAGATATAGTGTCTGGGGTCTTACAGGCTTGAAGTTAAACAGGCCTATAAGGAAGAAGCACACCAGCCTGTGCAATCATTAGGTGTCAAGGGGATCAGGTAACAGGCATCAGAAGACCCCAAACAAACCAATAAACATATTGCTGAGAATGAGGGGGGTGAGAGCTGAGACCTAAAGTCCATCTATGGACAATGGGACAGCCCCTCACAGAAGGGTCACAAGGAAGGGATGCGTATAGCACTGATAAAACACAATATTCCTCTGATTCCTTGAGGCTTCCTCACCCCTCACTGTCTGACCCGAATCCTGCCTTTCACTGCAGGTTAGGCTGGAGCATGTACAGGTACAATGAGAGCTCAGGACACACAGAATCCAGGTCAGATCGATCCCTCGGGAACAGAAATGGGAATAGCCATACCAGGAGGGGAAGGTGGGGAGAGGAGGGGGAAGAAACCGAGGAGGAAGGAAGACATCCGTCAGTGTAAGATATGAAAATATCATCTTATTATTTTGCGGCTACCATCTTCTGAAACTGTTGGGGAACAAATCCCTGTCTGGGTATGGAACTGATGTGGCAACAGTGGCTTGAGAATTGGCCTGGTCTTAGCTGGGCGTTTTCTATTCGTGCTTGGGCTAGGGCATGAGCCTTCAACTAAGTCCCAGGGTCCTTTGTTTTGGCAAAATCCTTTACACATAATTGAGGGCAGATGTTCTTGTCTGTAGAATCAGAGGAAAGCACAATGGTAACTTAGACAAATATTCTCATGTCCAGATCAAGCCTAGAGAGGAGAAATGGCTAATCCTCGGTTGCATGGAGAAACTTAGTAGAGAGATTTGAAGGATGAAAACACAAATAGTTTGTTTTAGTCCGCACACTGACACGTATTCTGCCTGATGGATCTAGATAAAGAATAAACAAAGTTATTAACAGTCTTACTCTCATTGGCCATGCCAAATATGCAAAGAAGAGGTTTTCTCAAAAAAAGAAAAAGAGAGGATGAAACTCCTGTATTCATTTTGGCCCCAGAATCTCTTACTGGGTGGCTCCATCTCGTTTGTCTTGACTTTTGTTCTTTTGCCGTCTCCTGGACCGCTTCTCCCCGCTGCAGGCGTCCTCACCAGCAGTCACCAGACTCTTGTCCTTCCACAGCCACTCACGAACCTCTCGTTTTGTCTGGGCGCCAAGTCAGCCAACCAGCACTGCTTGTCTTCATTCCAGCTATGCTGTATGCAGCGGAGGCCCTTTCCTGGCTGATGGCCTGAACAAGCCCTGCAATTGCTAAAATATTAATGGCTCCCTCTCAGGAAAAAAATAGCACGGTGAAGTTTTCTGGCATAAATGAAAATTTCCAGAGAGTTAGAAACATGGAGGAAGTAGACAAAAATGATCCTTTGGAAAACTGTCTCAGGGTTGAAACAAAAGTGGACGCCCATTGCCCTCCTTTCCCCATCAAAGTGCTGAGGTCTCGCCGTGAGAGACGCAGTCACTGCTGGCTGAGAGTCGGGATTTTGACCACGTAGGTGGACTGTGTAACAAGGCAGATGAGTCCTGGGGCTTGGCTCAGCAGGGTCCCTGGGATAGAGGAGGAGGGAAGGCCAGGCTAGAGCAGAAAGCCCAAGGGAGCCATGCAGATCAAGTGAACATGGGGGTCCTACAATGAAGAATGCATGTGACGTGGTTGTGGGGGAGGGCTGAGGAACACTGAGGCAAACATCCAGGTGGCCTCAACTGCAAAGAACTGCGGTTCCTCTATGGTCCAATTCTTAATTAAGACACTTAGCCCTTCATGCTGTAATTATGCAATTTCCCAACCAGATGCTGTCATTGTCCTCCTCGCATCCCCGTTGATGGGCTCAGTGCTTGGCCATGTTCAAGGGTATTTTCTGAATGAATAGATGAGTAATTGACACAGACAGAATAAAGAGCAATAACTGACCCGTCACAAGTGCAGAACAGTGAATGTCATATTTTTTATTCCTTTTATAATGAAGAGCATATAAAGGGTTGGCAAGAGACAGATCTCAAGAAGAAGACAGGTGATGTCAGTGGGGTCACCGTGGTCCCTGTCAGCCGGCATTGTCGTCCGCCCGCCCCCTGCTCCCCACCAAGGGTCTCAGGCTGCAATAGACCACACTGAATCTTTAGTGATGTTTATTATCAATTCTCACCAGAGAATACTATGTGACAAATATCATTGTAAGTCGCTTACATGTTAGTTTTTGGTTTTGTTTCAGTTGGTGCGACTACAGGCAGTGCCAGAGTTAGGAACAAGGTTCATCCCGAACTTCATCTTTACCGATTTGTAAGCAATTTGCACCAGGTGCCTATGGCTTTTATTTAGCCTTCCTTTAATGCAAGAAAGGGTTTAAAGCCTTTGTCAATGATTTACAAGCTGTATGTGTGGCAAGTGAAAGTGATGGCGATGAATTTGTTGTGAGGGGGGTGGGACCAACCCTTTCAACAGGAGGCCAGATTGAGAAAACATGGAAGGGGAGTAGGAGTTGTCCATAAGGGAGATGCTCCTAACCCAAGAACTGCCTGTACTAACAACAAAATTATTTTGTAGAATCGGGCTACGTGGAATCACAACATTTCAGTGACTGACTGAGCAGAAGCCATTTATAAAGCTTTCTTCTTTCTGTCCTTTAAGTACTACTTCAGTCATTCTAAAAAAGTTATTGGTATAAGTGCACAACTACTTGTTACTGCAATGCTATAGCTAAAGCAGGAGAAAATTTGACAATGCCAGAGAACATAAAAACTGTTGGCAGCAAAAATAAACAAACAAGACCAACCCAACAAAAACACACCCCCAAACAGTAAAACCGTAGTGTGTGCTCAAAGCACATGCAGGGCAAAACCATGTGATTTTAAGCATCATTTTACCTGGGTAATCATGATGGTTCTGAGAAAGTGCAAGGGAAGATTCAAAAGTAAATTGACATAGAATTTTAATCTTGTAGATGGACTGATACATGTAAGCTGAGCTTAAGAAATGGTTTTGTTGTTTGCATTAAGTACAGGGATATTTTTATCTTAAAATATCAAGTTTTGCTGAAAAACAATCTTCCAGTTATTTTGAAGCCACCCCCTCTGACAGTGTCACCTCGTGTGCTTCCCACTCTTCCAGTGATGTCACCGGACTGTACTCCTCCCACCCCACCCCAAACAACCCTGAGCTGTACAGAGCAGGGAACTGGAGCCCCAGCCCAGCCTTTCCCACCCAGCCAGTCTGGATCAATCCAGGCTAACTTTTCTAGGAGCTCCGTGTGGCAAATGCAGGCCTTCCGAGGCATCCTGGGCTATTCTCCAAGTGGCAAAGACTCACACCGCCTTTTTTACTTCCCCAAACAACCTGGCCGCTCACGATGTCGCGCTCCCAGTCTGAACTTCCTTGTCTGTCCTCGCCTTTCTTCTTTCTGTCTGACTTGAGACTGCCGCTGACAGGTTCTTCCAGCTTGTGCACACATTTTCATGACTGAGTATGCTGAGACGCTTTTCCTGCCTGAGGGAATTCTTCTGGTCCTAGCTTATCAGCTCTGCTTCCAAACCTTTTCACCTCCACATTTCACCTTCCATTGCCCTCATTGCTGGTGCTTAGCATTTTGCACTTGAACTTCTAAGCATGTACACACCTCATGTGGCGGGGGAGAGTGGAAGCACCTCTCCTCCAGGCAGGGGGGCTGCCCTTGCGGAAGACCCTGGATTTCACTGAACAGATACAGCTGAAGACAAGTTTGAGCGCACTCCCAGCCCAGAGTCTGGCCCCGTTGCCCTTACCACGCCGACTCTTTCCAAAAGTGCTTCTCAGCACCAGGCCCTTTTGCAGCTCATTTTGCAGCCAAAGCGGTAGCAAGGCTGTGACAAGTGCTGCCGGAGCAGGCGCTTCTCCAAGCTGAGAGCATGCACGGTGCATCTGTGATGCGCAAGGAGGCCATTGTCAGTTGCTATGGAATGTGCTGAAAGTGTGAAATACGGTTTAATTGTGGATTTCATTATAAGTAGGATACTAGTCAGAAAGACCCCGAAAGCTAGTGGAGCAGCTACCAGCTCAGGGAGAAAAAACGAGAGCAGTAGAAACAGCTATTGGAGTTCCAACGATAGTTAACACACGTGGGCAGCCTGGGGCCCCTTGCCCCTTTCTCTTCACGTGGGTTTGCTATGTGCAAATCTAAACGTTTGCAAATTCACAGTCATAGTCTGTCATCCGGCACATTATGAACTTCCACTGACGATCCCTGGAGGGAGAGAATCAGAAAGCTAACGTTGGTGAGAAAAGACGCTGAAGGAAGACTCCCTTCTGGGGACAAAAAGGCAATGAAGGACACTTGGACCCTTGGAGCTGCAGACACCTAATCTAACTTTGCTCTTCAAAGACACCTCTAGAGAAAACTCTAGAGTTGACAGACAACCCCTCTGTGAGGTCAAGTGGTCTGGCTGCCCCCTCGCCTTATTCAGGTTGCACCTTAAACGCGAATGATTAGCTTGCTGGGGATGGAGATTCCTGTTCATCTCTATTCGTGTCTCTTCACCCAAAGGCACCCCAAGGGCATAGAGGTTAACAACTTGAAATAAACGCAATTATTTAACACTGTCTAGAGTTCTCTTTTACGCCCATAAAGAGTTACGGTCTTGGAAGCCCACAAGGGCAGTTCTACCCGTATTATAAGGGTTGTATGAGTCAGGACTGAGGCCTTAACTCGATGCCAGTGAGTTTGTTTTCTCCCCCTGGGTGGTGCTCAGCTATGGAAAACCCAACGAAAACCCACTCGTGTGTCAGAACCAACTCAACAGCGACGATCGTTGTCTTTTCCCCATTTAGTCTTCCTTTCACTGAGTATTCACCAAATGCTAGGTTCCGTGGGTTACAAGTTGGGCTTTGATCAGCAGTTCAAAACCACCAGCCACTCCCTGGTGTTTTCTACTCCGTACAGGCTCAGAAATTGGTAAGGCCAGCTCTCCCCTGTCCCATTGGAGCTCTATGAGTTGGCATGGACCCAGTGGCAATGAGTTTGGTTTGGAGATTCTGTATCACACACACCGTGTTTTCCTTCAGAAAATAGTATTACAGAGATATGAAGGGAGAACTTTCATATCTCTTAACATGAAACAGGAAATGTCTTCTATTTTGAATAACAAATTGAATCACATTTTTTTTTTAGCAGGCAGGGATGATAGGAGACCACATGGACTTGCCCAATTTTGAAAAGCATAGTTTGCATATATTTTAAGAAATATTTTTTGGCAAGGGCAAGTTAGTGTTCTTTGTTCATATATTTCACTGCAAAAACCAGCAATGTATTGAGTGTCTTCTCTGCATGGTCCACCTCTGGCCTAATATAGATTAGTGATGATAATGGCGATAGTAATATTAATAACAACAAGAGTTTACGGAGTATCTCTAGTAGATCCAGCATGGTACTAGATTTCTACCTGTCTTCTCATGTAACCCACCAATGATTGCTTGTTGAGTCAATCAAACAGGTTCGGGGGAGGGGTTGGGGTGGGAGACGGGGAACACTAGACTCTGAGAGAGGATAAATGACTTGCTTTAAAGTAGAGTGCTCCTTATGTCATGTGCTAGTTCCCATTAGCTCAATTTCAACTTAAGTGGCAAGATTCTTGCCCAAGTTCTTGGGCTCATATCTTTCCCTTTCTCTTATACCACACTGTTCTTTCACTTAAATCTTGCTCTTTGTCTTATAGCCATAACATACCAGGGAACATTATTGTCAAGTCTTGGGCACACTCCCAACAAAGGGGAAAATGTCTCAGCTATTCTTTATTGATCATGGAGTTCCATAACCTTAGAATTGTCCTCTCTTTTCAATTTGCAAGGCCCTTTCCCAGTTCAGGCTTTCCTAACCACCCAGACTCAAAAGACCTCCGGCATGAGATCACATAACCTGACATTTATATTACTGTTAAATGATATTGAGCAAAAATTCAGACTTGGTCCTTGTGGCAGTTACATTATTTTCTGTCTACTTGAGTGAAGGGGTGGAGTCTAGTCTGTCAATCAGGTCATAGCCAATGAGGCTTCTGTGTGAGCAAGGCCTTCTCTTGAGGATTCTGGGAACTCCTGCCTTCCTCCCTGGAGGCAGGACACTCACTCTCTCTGCTTGACATTCCTGTTGACAAGCCACATGGAACCATGCTGATGGAGCCAGAGCCCTGGAGTTGCATCCACTGCCATTGGACCCACAGGACTTTCCACCTACTGGCCTGTGATCTTCTTGCATTTGGCATCATTGCACATGCTGCGTGAGTCTGAAGAGGAATTCATGGGCTAATATCAAACTTATGGACTTGATCTGGACTGGATGGGATGTTTTACTGATGCATAATTAATTCTTGATATAAAGCTATCTCTTACACACATACGAGTGTGTCTGAATTTGTTTCTCTAGTAAACCCAGGCTAACACAGTCCTATAAAAGACTTTACAGGGATTCAATAAGCCTCAGCCTCTGGTTTATTTTCATATCATCTCTCCAAAATAGTGGGGAAATTGGTTAATTTTTTAAAATTCTGGACACATTAAATAAGTTACAAGGTAACTTCAATTTAGTTAGACAGTCATTAAAAATATAAATACACAAAAGTGATTAGGGATGCATGAACTTTTCATGTTTCATTATTTAATGAGCTAATGTAAATTTTATTTGGTTGGCAAAACATTGACCTATAACTTTTCATGAACTCATTTGCTATATAAAGGATTACCACCTGACTAAGGTAGGTAAACCGAGCCTTGTAACACCTTTATTTCCCCACATCTCTCTCCGGTCAACAGAAAGAAACACTCTTGTCTTCTCTGATTGCTTAGCTTTGGTTTCCTATACTTGAGATAAAGACAGAGCTGGCTGTGAAAGAAAAGGGAAGGGGAAATGTTGGTGCTGGGTTTTCATTGTTATTTAAACTGTCCTCTTTCACTCCTAAATATAGTTTGTAAATTTCAGGTGTGTTTTTTCTTTACATGTCCTTCCTCTTTCTTCCCCCCTCCCCTCCCACAACCTGAAAAAAGCCCCCCAAAACCCAAACCCAAACTTGCTGCCATTCAGTAGATTTCAACTCAGAGTGACCCTACAGGCCAGGGTCAAACTGCCCCCATGAGTTTCCAAGACCGCAACTGTTCATGGGCATACAAAGCCCCATCTTTCTCTCTCAGAATGGCTGGTATTTAGAACTGCTGATATTTGTGTATCACAGCCCGATGTGTAACCCCTATGCCACCTCAACTCACTGCCATGTAGCCAGTGCTGACTCATCGTGACTCTACAGGACCAGCTAGGACTTCCCCTGCGAGTTTCCAAGACTGTTTATAGGAGCAGAAACCTCGTCTTTCTCCAACGCCACCTGAAGTGGGAGTTAAACGAAGGCAAGAGATTGAGGGGAGTTCTGTGTAACAGTCATGGGTACCCCTCCAGTCCTTTGTCTTCTCTTCCTGAGGACAAAGTGCTCTTGCAACTGAGTGAGAGGGAGAGCTTAGACCATGATGGGACACCAGTTTAGGATTCTCTACTCTGGACCAGGCCTGGAGTCCGGGAGTCCTCATCTCCGCAGGGGAGTTGCTCCATGCCATGAGCTCACAGAAACAGCTCATTCCTCATTGCTTCCCATGGTCCAGTCAACCCCTGGCCAGGAAAATACAACATGGACAATCTGGAATAAAAATTCTCATAGAACCATGCATGCATGCAATTAGTCCTTGGGCTCGTTAACCCCCTGCCCATGAGAATTCTAGATGCACCTTTCCACAGCAGAGAACGTGGTTGTTGCTCCCCGGATATAGTAGTCATAACTGTAGGAAACCATGTCTACCTCTTCACCATAGTGGCCTGGATACTCTGTTGTCAGCCTGTGTGCAGAGAACAAAGGGTTAGAGGACAAAGATCAAACATATTATAGTCACAATATGCTTGCTGGGAGCAAGCAAGAAACGTGAGATAAAATTTGAACATGAGATAAAGTTGAGCTGGGGGTCTATGGCCACCACAGAATCAGCCCATTCCAGATAGATGGCTCCCCTGTCTCCTGCCACTTCCCATCTTCCTTCGGCTTGCCATTAAACTATACACAGAAAGGCGTGGATCAATTTCCGGCCTTGAGAAAATATCAATATTAATCTCATTCTATTTAAATCTCAAATAGTGATGTTTTCAAACTGTGAATTATGATGCATTAGTGGGTCATAAAATCAATTTAATTCATTCTGACCAGTCTTAAGAAAAAAGAAAAAGTCATGTCTGTGTGTGTGTGTAAACTTTGTTTAATGCCACCCACTGCCATTCAATCATTTCCAACTCATAAAGATCCCATATAAGGGGGCATAGTGGGTTACAAGTTGGGCAGCTAACCACAAGGTCAGCAGTTCAAAACTACCAGCCATACCACAGGAGACAGATGAGGTCTTCTATTCTTATAAAGTTTGCAGTCTCAGAAACCCAAAAAGGTCGTTTGAACTCATATTTTTACCTGCCCTATAGGGTCACTATGGATCAGAATAAACCCCATGGCAATAAGCTTAGTTTGGGAAGTCATAAGTTTTGTCAGAGAAACAAAGGTAGTTAAGGCACATGCCAACCTCTATACTTTCTCACCGCCATCAGTTCAATTCTAATGTACTGCAACTGTATAGGACAGAATAGAACTGCTCCCTAGAATTTCTGAGATTATAAATCTGTACAGGAACAGAGTCTCATCTCTCTCTTATGGATTGTCTGGTGGGTTCAAACCCCTGACCTTTCAGTTATCAGACCAATAGTGTCCTATGTGTGTCCTGTGCATGTGTGCACTTGCATTTATATAACGGGATAGTTTAAAATGTATTTGTTACTATAAGCCAGGATCAAAAAAGTTCTTGAAAAATATGTAATTAGAGTATAAGCTCTGTAAGGGTAGGAAGGAACACTGTTAATATAAGAGGTTAATCATTGGACTGCTAACCACAAGGTCAGAGGTTCAAACTCGTGACAAAAACAAACAAACAAACAAACAGAAAGTGACACTTCCTTGTAAGAGTTCTGAAGAGAGAACTGAATTTAAACTTCCTGAATTAGAAACTGAGATAAGTGCATGGGGACCTGTCGGAAGACAGGAGACTGCAGGGAATCAGAAGAAACCAGGACTTCCCATCCTGTGGCTCTGGGTTTCCTGAGGGTGGGCAGGGGGGCGAGTGTCAGTGTGGGTCCAGCCTCCTCGTGAACGACTAGCTCACTTAAGCATCCTTTTGGCAAAACACTTCATACTAAACACTGCTACACAGTCTTAAACCAATTAAAATAATCAAACAAGCCTGCAGCTTGCCAAGGGGAAGGGAAGGGCAGGCCAGGAAGATTATTTAATTTATTCAAATGAGTATATTATTTAAGCTCTTTTATCCTGAGCCTTTTTTACTCCTTTTCAAAAAAATCTCAATCTCTCTCTCTTTATACATGTGTGTGTATACATATACATCACATACATACACAAAAACATCCACAGCCACATACTCATATACATATACATCCTCTTTCCACTTTTGGATAATTGGCTCCTGAGGTAGTAACATTTCTCCCTTTTTCTGCCTCATGCAGTGCAGACAGAAGCAATATGATCTCACCGACTGAGCTCAGAGTCAGTGTCCGGAGTGCTTTGCTGTACGGAGACGCCCTGGTACAGAACTGGGCTCAGCCACAGGCTACCACCGCCTTTTCAGAAGGAAAAGAAGCATCTAGGCTAGTTACAGGAGGAGGGCAGTCTTCCTCAGCATCAGAGATTTGCTTGAGAGCTGATGAAGCTATCAGTCATTAAGGGAAAGGGTATTTTCATTTATTCCTCAATAGAAAATGACTCGGTGAATAGGGAGGGAGGAAGAATTGTGGGGGAGGAGACAAAGAACCACATTTATGGAGAGTTATTTAAAAATAATAGGATATTATTGCTGCTGCTTTAATTTCTTGAGATAGGCTGTGTAAACATATATCAGACATTTATGTTTTTAAAAATACCTCCAGATTCCTTATCCCTCAAATCTAAAGAGTGGTCTAAAAAAAGGTGGAAAAATAAAATTGAAATGGATTTGGAGTCATCAAGGACAAACAAGATTCTAGATCGATCGATTGATAGATTGATAGATCAATAGATTGGTCGATCAATAGATAGATAGATAGACAGACAGACAGACAGACAGACAGACAGACAGACAGACAGATAGATAGATAGAGACTCTGTTTGAGATTCTCAAAAAGCCCACCCCTAGTAAGACTTTGTGATCACCAAGTGGTTGCACCAAAAACTAATATCATAGCTCAGGTTTGTCTCTTGCATCGATTTGACAAGCCAGCAATTTAAGTAGTAGCTGAGTTGATTCCAACGCACAATGACCCCGTGTGCATAAAAATAAAACAACTCTGCAGCATTTTCAGAGGCTGATTTATTAGAAAAAGATTACCAGGGCTTTCGTCTGAGACACTAATGGGTAGACTTGAACCTCCCACTGCCAATTTAACAGTCAAGCACGTTAACTGTTGGCACCACCCAGGGATCCTGCTCACGAGTAGGACACATGGGTTTGTGGAAAGTCATTACGGAGATTCTGCCTTGCAGGGTGTGTGAACATGGAGACAGGCCCTTGTCTTTGGGAAGCAGGTTTTATGTCCCAAATCAGTTAAGTGCCATGTCCTCGGCTGTATCCGTAGTGCTGAGGACACCAGAGACGCACATGGCACACACTTCCAACCACAAACTGGAAGAAACCCCAGCACTCACATTGCCATAAACCAGATGGTATTTCTAAGGATTTTAAAACTAAGGATAAAATGAGGATGTTTTCTCATTCATTCCCCAGAACTCAGCTGAAGTTCAAACAACGCTTTGAGCTGTTGCTTCTGGGTGATCCCATTTTCTGGTTTGGTCCTCTTGGCTCTACTACCCAATGAGCACTTTACCATAAATAACTTATTCTAATGTCCCATTATTTGCTAGCATCCTATATTTGTCATTTTATTTACAGAATGCTGTATTCATGATGATGACCAATATATTGAACTTTTTGCTCATATATACCTTTTATGATCTGAATGGAAGCCCTTGAGTGGCACAAACAGGTGATGTGACTGGCTGTTGGAGCTTACCCAAAGGCAGCTCAGAAGAAGAGTCTTGTAATTTCCATCCCCCAAATCAGCCGTTGAAAATGCCATGCAGCACGGTTCTGCTCTGACACATATGGGGATGCCAGGAGTTGTAATTGACCCGACAGCAACAAGTTATTGGATTTTATGATCGAAATCAGAAGTGGTCATTGAAGAGAAAGTCACTCATTGTAGAAATGATTTGCTAAGATTGACCTACATTCCATATCTAGTAAACAGAGGATGACCATTTCTGAAAGTCAAATAATTGAGGAGATTTTCAAAATAGAAATTTTCAATCTTCTTGTTCTGAAACCTTTCCAGGTAAGCTACAACAAATGAGAATATCTGATTGGAGTGCATTGTTCATGGTATGGAATCCTTAGTTGGTGCTGAATCCAATGGTGTTTGAATTCATTTTTAGAAGATAGGATGAATAAAATCCAAAAGCAGTTATGCATAAAGGAAGGCATACATACAAAAGTGGCAACCCTGCTTCCCTTCCAAAGAGCTGGGTCAATTGGCCAAAGGTGGGGAAAAAAAATGGCCAACGGCTCTACTGGAAGCATAGCACCCTCTTCTGCAGAATCCAGAGCTTTGGAGGTGCAAGGAAGGGTATAGATTGTGCACACCTCTTCTCTTGTGGAAATTGGAGTGTTGATATCTTAATAGGCATCTGAAGAGGAACCTTTCAGCTCAGAAGGCACCCAAAAAATGACTGTGGACAAGCTGCCTTTCCAAAGGAGAGTCAACCATGTTATTATGATTGACGCTACTTTATAAAGGTTAGCCTGTGGGAGTAAGCCTTCAGAACTTTCATTTGTTGGTAGGACATGACTTAAAAGTGAGAAGAAATAGTTGCAAATATCAATTAATAATTGGAACTTGGAATGTGCAAAGTATGATTCTTGGAAAAATAGCAGTTGCAAAAAATGAAACTAAACACATGAAAATTGACATTCTAGGATTAGTGAACTAAAATGGACTGGTATTGGCCATCTTTCATCAGAACAGTGCAGGAAGTACCACAGAAGATGAGAAGACTCCCTACAGTCACTGTACCAAACAGAA